TTTTTAACACATTAGACTTAGTTGAAATAGAAATAAAAATTCTCTTTTACGCTCACATTTTGGTTTATATGTTTGTATATTTTGAAATTTCTATAGTGAATACAACTAAAATAAAAGGTGGACAAGAAAAATAGGAAATCAAAACATTTATTTATGGATACATTGTTACAGCTTCAACAGGATACCATTGTACACCATCAGAATCACTGATTTTTTCTTTAACTGACAATATCAAAGAGCAACAAAAGAATAGAACAGCATGAACTCAAACCCAACTGGCCAAAGTATAAGCTAGTACAATCACTAAAATGTAAAATGTAAAGAAAACAAATGATTATCAAAAATATTAGGCATCAGAATCAGAAGGACAAGCACTGTAAATAGAAGGGAACATAAAGTGGTTTCTGAGGTACTGGCAATGTTGAGTTACACAGGTACAATGAGCTGTACTCTAGTATTTTGTGTGCTTTTCTATTAAGTGATATTTTGCAGCAATGTAGTTATAAGAAAAGGAACTAAGCTGGAAAAATACTTGAAGCAAGTATGACAAAGAAAGAGTTAATATTTTTATGTCAAAAGTTCATGCTTAAATAAGTGGGAAATAAGCAAAGTGCAAAAGTTTATATAATATGCTGCCTTTTGTGTAAGAGGGGAAATAAGAATATACCTATATATTGTTGTAAAATAAATACAGTACAGGTAAACTAGAGAATAATTAAATTGCTTATTTTTGAGGGGATGGGTAGGGAATGAGGTGGAAAAGACAGAAGAAATGAGTGGGCCGGAGGATGAAGGGGCATAATACTTAGAATCTTTTTTGACAGTTCTGACATTTATTACCAAGTTAACATCTCGCATGCCTCAAACAATACAACAAAACAGAAATTAATATGAAGGGGAAAAACTAAAATGAAATTCAGAACAGAATAAAATCAACCAAACAACCTAATAAATGAGTAATGTAACCACACTGAAGAGAAAAAAAAGTGAGCCAAAGTAATTTTTTAATATAATTTTTACTTTATTTTTAAATATATTTTATTGACTTCAGACAGGAAGGGAGAGGGAGAGAACCATCAATGATGAGAGAAAATCACTGATATTGATAGGCTGCCTCCTGCATGCCCCCCACTGAGGATCTAGCAACCTGGGCCCCTTCAGTCCACAGGCCAACGCTCTATTCACTGAGCCAAACCAGCTAGGGCTAATATAGTTTTTCTTGATTTCAGAGAGAGGAAGGGAGAGGGAGAGAGAGATAGAAACATCAACGACAGAGAATCGATTGGCTGCCTCCTGAAATCCCCCTACTAGGGATCGAGCCTGAAATCTGGCTATGTGCCTTGACCAGGAATCGAATCCACGACCTTTCTGTGTACAGGATGACTCTCCAACCAACTGAGCCACACCAGTCAGGGCTCAGCTTTACTTCTTTTGCTGCAATTTACCTTTAAGGTAAAAATTACTTCTAAGTAATTAGCATTGTAAAATATTTTAAAATCTATTTCGGAGAGAGAAAGAGAGGGAGAGGTATAGAAACATCAATGATGAGAGAGGATAATTGTTTGGCTGTCTCCTGCACACCCCTGACTGGGGCTTAAGCCCACAATCCAATATATGCCCTGACCGGAATTGAACTGTGCCTCCGGGTTCATGGGTCGACGCTCAACCACTGAGCCACACCAGCTGGGCTGAACAAAAGTAATTTTAAAACACAGTATCTAAACTATATAGCTTCAAGCTAAACATAAAAAGAAATAAGCAAACTCTGAACTCTAATTAGGCGGTCTCTTTTTGGCAGAGGTACAGGTTAGCAATTCTAAAACTACTTTGTTATTATAGGATTAAGCAAGTAAAAATACTGTGGATAACAGGAACCAGCATTCTCACCTATGTGAGAGAGTTACACGTATAGAAGAGGACTGAATGAACCCTGTGGTGATGGGCTGGAATTGGTGGTATTAGTGTGAATTGATGGCTTTTAATACACATAGATGTATGTGTGGAGACGTATGTGTATTCACTCATATGTAAGTATATAGTATTTAGTTCTTAACTGTGTCAGGTGAAAGGGCCTAGAAGCAATAATACAATAGCAAACGAACACACCTAGCCCAAAAATCTTGATTTCCAAATGCATTCTCCACCAAAAGGAACTAGGGACCTTAGAAACGGCTGATTCCAGGCCAAGGTGGGGAAGAACGTGGAATATCCTACTGTGCCAAAATGTAAAGAAAATACTCAATGAATGAGAGGGTCATATCAAAAGGACACGGGAATCAGCGTGGAGAGGCTCTCATGGCCCAATCTGGGACAATTTGAGCATCAATATAAATAATAATAGTAAAGAAATACAACTTATCAAATAAAGTAAGAATCTAGAAGTTCAAAATGATATAAATAAGTATGAAGGGGAGAAAGAAAAACTCTCATCTTTATAGCAAAAAGCCAACTAATAGTCATAGAGGAATTCTGAAATTAGAAATTCACCATTTGGCAATCATCATATTCAGGCAAGAATTATCAATGGATGCTAACTTGTAGGAAAAAATTTGAGGAATACCATGCTATTTACAAAACCTCTATTTCTCCCACAAGATAGCTCTAAATTACAAAAGAAAAAAATAGTAACTTTACAGTAGAATAACCTGACAGACAGTAACTTTAACCAAGTAAAGCTGACATCATCAGAAATGAGGCAAATTAATAGCATGTGTCTCCACAAGCATCTTTTCCATGTGATTCCTGATAAAAGCACAAGAGGTGAATTTAATTGCTGGGGTCCAACCCCAGCAGGTCCAGGGGTCCCCAAAGGTGTGGACGGAGTCGGCGAAGAAGGAATGACACGGAGACAGCGTTCAGTTGATCAGCAGCCTAGCCAGGATCTCTAGCCAGGATCTCCAGCCAAGTTCTGGTCTGGATCTCCAGCGAAGTTCTGGTCAGGATCTCCAGCCAGATTCTGTGTCCATGTTCTCTTGCTAGGTTCTCCAGCCAGGTTCTGTAGCCATGTTCCCTCACTAGGTTCTCCAGCCAGGTTCTGTCCAGGTTCTCCAGCCAGGTTCAGTCACCAGGTTCTAGTCAGGTTCTCTTGCCATGTTCTATCCAGGTTCTGTAGCCAGGTTCTGTCTCTAGGTTCTTCAGCCAGGTTCTCTCGCTAGGTTCTGTCTCTAGGTTCTGTTGCCAGTTTCTGTCCAGGATCTTTTGCCATGTTCTCTCCAGCGAAGTTCTTCTGTCTCTAGGTTCTGTGTAGGTTCAGTCTTCTAAGTTCTGTCTTCTAAGTTCTGTGTGTAGGTTCTGTCTTCTAAGTTCTGTCTTGTTACATCTGTATTTATACCAGTTGATTCCAATCCTATCAATCTCTATTCCAAAGGTTAGGGCGTTTCTTATCTCCATTCCAGGGAGTAAAGATTAAGTAGCTTAAGCATGATTGTTCGTAGTTAAAGTGATTAATTACCCGCCTGGCACTTAGTTAAGAGGTTTTATTCCCTCCCTAACTTCAGGGGAAAAATCCCTACCTGGGGAAACAACCTTTCTCAGAGAGGAGACCTTGGTTAAAACACATAGTGCCAAGAAGGTGAGCAAACATATTAAGAACAGTATGCCATATATGCCAGGTCCCTTGAAACAGCAAGGATGGACCGGCTCCCAGCATTTAATCATGAAAATATATCAAAGAAAAGCAAACTGAGAGACATTCAAAAAAATAACTGGCCTAAACTCTAGATATCAAGTCATGAAAAACAAAGAACTATTCCAGATTAAAACAGACTAAAGAGACAGTACAAGTAAATCCAATGCATAATTCAGGATATTCTTTTGCTGTAAATGACATTCTTGACACCTCTGGTAAGATATGAATGAGGTCTACAGAGTAGTAATGGTATCATATCAGTTTACTTTTGATAACTGTACTATAGCTATGTAAGAGAATATCCTTGATTTTAGGAAATATACACAAAAGTACTTAAGGGAAATGGGTATCATGTCTGCAATTGACTCTCAATCCAAAAGTAAAAGGTGTGTGTAGGTGTGTATTATATATACACATACACATAGAGAGGAAAATAGCAACTGTCATCGAGAGTCTGAGATGGGGAGAGGACAGGAAAAGATTGAAGAATAAAACAAATATGGAAAAACGTTAACATATGAGGAGTTTTGGCAAAAGGCATATATATGTAGGAATCCTTTGTACTATTTTTACACTTTTCTGTAAGCCTGAAATTATGTCAAAATACAAAGCTAAAAGAAAAATCTTACACAATACAGAAAATCAGACATTTCATAAAAGCAAAAGTTAAACATGAGCAATTATTCAACCACTTAAAAAAATAAAAAAACATTTTTGTAGTAAATTCTGGAGGGGTTGGTATTTTCATATTTTGCTGAGTGACAACTGGTTCAAACCTTTTGAGAAAAAATAACTTGGCAATATGGACTAGGAGTAAAGTAAAGAATCTGGTGATTCTACCACTGGGACTCTATCCTAAGGAAATAAAGACTAAATATCAGAAAGTCGTTATAGACAAATGTAATCACAACAGCTTCATTTAAAATAATGCAAATTGGGAAAAACCTAAGTAGAACACAAGAAGAGTTTAAGAAAATGTATAATCACTCACAGGAATTATTTAATCATTAAAATAAATAATCTATAAAAACTAAGTAAACATGGAGACGTGCTTACAACAGACATAATAATGTGATAAAGTAAAATTATATGAACAGAATAATTACAAGTTTTGGTTTCTAAAATATTCATAGAAAAAAAAGACAAAGAAAACTCACAAAACTGTTAAAGGATTTGTAGGGTGATGGTATAGGCAAGTGAGTTTTTTCCCATTTCTTTACCATTCAAATTGTTAAGTAACTGAATTATTTTAATACTGAGAAATATGCAACTAAAAAAGAAACTAAACTTGTATTTACTGCTTTAATCCTTTGTGTTTACAAAATGCATCTGGAAATATTTCAGAGAGAGAAATAAGGGGGAAAAGTCATGATAAAGTAATTTAGACAAATACTTTAATTTGGTTTCAAACATATGTAAGCAGTACACATGTGAGTGAGGAGGCTGCTCAAGTCCGTGGGGGAAAGGTTACAAAAGATACATACAAATATCCATCTCAAAAGCATGAGGGTCCTTATATCCTTTCTTAAAGAGCAAGCACATTCTATATAAATGAGAGTTGTGACAAAGAATTTCAAAGTTCAAGAGCCTGTCACAGTATGAGGTATAATAATGGACAAGAAGTCTTACAATCTTCTCTTGTCCAATACTCACTGAAGTCTCATTCGTTTTTCAGGGGGACCTTTAGTGCTCACTGTCTGTTGGATGTTCTTTGTGGTCTCCTTCTCATCAGACTTCACAGTTTCTGGTGTAGGTTCTGCCTCTTTCTTTGTCTGATCCACTAGCCATCAAAAGGAGTTATTTTTTGGAGGGGGAGAAGGATAAAGGGATGAGATCAATTTAGACAACAGTCAATATGAACGGTTCAAACTCTTTCCAATTCATTTTAGAAGTGCTTATCTCAAGTTCTAAATTTAGCTGTTTCATCAGGCAGATGTATAAGAATCCATTTACAAGTCTAAAAACCTGATAACCCAAGCAAATTTGTGATACTAGACAAAAACACATGGCATTTAAATAAGATAGTATACATGATTATTCCATCCCAGTTCAATGGATAGGTCAATTATCTCTTTTCAATGATGAACCAGAAGACCTTTCTCCACACTGAAATTTGAACAATTTGAACCCCAAACCTCAAATCACCTCATCTTTTCCACACCTCCTCAATTCCTATTCTTCCCACTCTGATTCACCTTTTAAATCCTAACATCACTACCACAAAGGCATCATCTTGCCTGGCCAGCCTGGCTCAGTGGCTGAGTGTCCACCTATAAACCAGAAGGTCACAGCTCCATTCCCGGACAGGGCACATGCCCGAGTTTCAGGCTCAATCCCCAGTGTGGGGTGTGGAGGCAGCCGATCAATGATTCTCTCTCATCATTGATGTTTCTATCTCTCCCTCTCCTTCCCTCTCTGAAATCAATAAACATATATATTTAAAAAACAAAAACAAAAAAACCCCCCGGCTTTTGGCAGTTCAGCAAATCCCAAGGTTAGGAGTAACAAGCTACAATGAGAGAATCTAGAAAAGGGGTGATGAACGTACGGCCTCTGTCTATGTAAGTCCCAAGAAATCATTTGGGCATTAGGCATTAGGGGTGAGTTAATTAAATGTCTGACCAAATATAGCAGGCTAATTTTTAAGCTGATAATTTTGTATGGTCCTCAGATGATATTATAAATATCCAAATGACCCTTGACAGAAAAAAAGGTTCCTCACCCCTGATCTAGAAGGACCAAATGACAGTAGCTCATCTCATATGCTAAGTTGTTACTGAGTTAAACAGGCTGTTTGGTCTTATTTCAAGTTTAGCAAGAACATCAGATGAACCATACCTGGGACAGGCTTTTCTCCAGACTTTTGCTATAATTAAAAACAGAGAAAACAAAAGAGAGAGTGGGGAGAAGTAGAAGGAAACAGGCAAGTTAGCAAAGTTGTTTTTTTTTTTACTTCAAAATTCTTATTAAATTACACCTTCATTCAAATTACATTATAGATGACTACGTGAAGAGGAACCACTGTATGTATCATAAAAAGTAAATTTATCATTTTCTACTTCTTTTTCGCCTGTTTCAAAAAAGACAAATCTAAAACTAGAACAAGAGTCAAATATAAATAACCCTGAACACCTACAAAACCCTCTGTCTCTGCATCCAGGCTACATGATTTACAAATATCTGCTAAGTAGACTCCAATGGAAGAGAAAATGGAGCCTTTCAAGACTTTGGAGACTTATTTGCTTAGGGGATATGAGCTATGAAAAAAGTACAATGAAGTGTGGATGAACCATCTGACTTTTAAAGATGGTGGGTATGGGAAGTATAGAGGGAAAAGAAGTATTTTTCTATGAACATAAGGTTTCTGATGAGTACACTATTAAAAGGCAAACTGCAGCCCGTCACATCTGAAACAATTCTCAATTAAAAACAAATATACCAGGCTCTGACCAGGAAGCACAGTTGATTAGAGCGTCATCCCGACATGCCAAGGTTTGGAGTTCGATACCTGATCAGGGCACATACAGGAAGCAGCCAATGAATGCATAAATAAGAGGAACAGCAAATTGATGTTTCTCTCTCCCCCACACTTCCTCTCTCTCTCTAAAAATAACTTAAAAATAAAAATAAACATGCCAGGAAACAGTATCAAATTTACCACACATGTTCTCATTACCTGCACAAATTTGGGTGGAAATTTTTGTCTGAGGTCTAGTAGTAAAGCATCCACACGTTGCCTCTGGAAAATAGAGCTTGGTTCTTCTTTCCTTTTGGTTTTAGGTTTAACTTTTTCTGTTAAAATATGAAGTCCAAATCAAAATACTGCCCAGTTTGGTGTTTTATATTTTACAAATTTTTATCCACCATGAATATACTCAGACTTCATTATTTTTCATGGCTGCTAGTTAAAACATAATCTCCCAAACAAGTTAAACTGAGCATATACACAGAAGTATTCTAACTCTCCCTCTTAAATGAAGTTATTAACATTCTAGCATTTAAAAAGCTGATGTCACCCTGGCTGGTGTGGCTCAGTTGGATGGAGCATTGACCAGTGCACTGGTTCGATTCCCGGTCAGGGAACATGCCCAGGTTGCGGGCTCAATCCCTGACACGGGCGTGCAGGAGACAGCTGATCAATGGATTGATATTCCCTCTCACATGATGTTTCTCTCTCTCTCCCTCTCCCTTCCTCTCTCTCTAAAAATCAATAAAAGTATTTTAAAAATAAATAAATAAAAAGCTGATGTCTTTTAAAGATACTTTAGTTTTAACTTTGTCAAGTATATGATTGTCTAACCACTATGCATACACCTGAAACTAATACAAAATAGTATTGAATGTAAATTGTAATTGAAAAAAAAAAAAATTAGTATATAAGCATGGATAGAAAAAAGAATTTTAAAGCTAAAGTTTTCCATAATTACCGAAATCATAATCCAGATTATTTGTTTGAAATTATCCTGTGTATATTTTAAGTGTATTAAATGGTCTTTTCCCATGAATCCTAATAAGTGCAAATGAAAAATGCAACTTTCAAAAATTCCCCAAGTTACCATTCTCAATAATGAAGACTATAAATCACTGAAAAAAACCCAGGACAAACCAAACAGAAGGTCCTTAAGACAAGAAAGAAGTTACAAGAGAAATTCTGAAATTAATGACATAGAATTTCCCTTGGGAGGGATATATATTGGGAGACTATCTTTAAATGAAGGGTTCCAGATAAGTTTCACTCCAAACATTTCATTAGGGTAGGGGCAGAGAGCTCTTAGGAGAAGTTTATTTAACTAATGTAAACTTTCCTACATCTGATGTTGCAACCTGCAACTACTATTAAGAATAAATAAAACTGTATCTGAGATAAGCCTGGGGAGAGAAACCAAGATGGCGGCATAGGTAAACACTGGAAAGTGCTGCCTCCCACAACAACTTCAAAAATACAACGAAAAGACAAAACAGACATCATCCAGAACTACAGGAATGCTGGCTGAGTGGAAATTCTACAACTAGAAGGAAAGAGAAAAGCACCCTGAGACCCAGAGGAGCTGCAAAAGTAAAGTGCAGAGGTACGGAGGCTCGCGTGCGCATGTGCGCGCAGAAGGGGCTGGCACCTGAGGAAGCGGCTATCTTTTTGAATCGGGAGGGAGTCACAAGCTCCCGACTGCTCTGAACTCCGGTTCCGGGAAGTCTCTGGGGACCCAGGAGTCATACGGGGAGAAACTGGACTGTCTGGCAGCAGGCAGAACTCGGAACTTGAGGGCGGCTTTCCCTCAGATGTGCTTGCAGCGATTACCGGGACACTGAGACGCGTGGCCCATTAGGGCAGGGCTGAAGATGAGCCATAGCTGCTTGCTCCGCCCTTTGATTCCCTGAGACCCCGCCCCACCCAGGCTGTGGCAGAGGCTTTTGCATATGAATGCCCTGGCCCTTTGCAACCTGAAAATTACCTAACAAATTGCAGCTGGGCCAGACAGACCCAGAGCTTCCAAGAGAAGGCCCAAGGCCCCACAGCGGCTTGCATTGCTTCACAGCTGGGCCTCATCTGGGCACCTCCAAACTCCAAACAAAGGAAGGGGAATCTGCAGTTCTCTTCGTAGCCCCTGCTGGGTAACCTCAGGCAGAGGCTAAATTAGCACCTCCTTAGATCCAAGAGCCAGTGTACCCAGTGGTCAGAGTGGGACCATCCAGATTACAACTCCTCAGATCCATAAGGGACACACTCAGGGGGCAGGCTCAGTGAGCACCAAAGCCCCACTGAAGCAAGTCTTGCCCCAGAAGGGTGTCTTCAGCACAGAAGTTCTCCCACTGCAGACACAGCTGATTCTCACAGCCAATTGGCCTGGAAGTCAATTCCTCCCAGTGATCCTACAACAATCAAGGCATAACTACAACAATACTGTGCACAAAGCCCACAAGGGGGTACACCAAGAGTGTCCACCTAAGGTAACTGGGGAGTCTGAGCCACTGGGCTCTACAGGACACCTAGCACACAAAACCACTCTACCAACACAGGGAAGCATAAAAAATGCGGAGACAAAGAAACAAGTCACAATGACAGAAATGGAGGAAAGCAAACGACTGGATATAGAGTTCAAAACCACGTTTATAAGGTTTTTCAAGAACTTTCTAGAAACCGCCGATAAATTTAGTGAGACCCTGGAGGATACGAAAAAAGACCAACTAGAAATTAAGCATACACTGACTGAAATAAAGAATAATATACAGAGATCCAACAGCAGACAGGAGGATCCCAAGAATCAAGTCAAAGATTTGAAATACGAAGAAACAAAAAATACCCAACCAAAAAAGAAAAAAGAATCCAAAAATATGAAGATAGTGTAAGGAGCCTCTGGGACAACTTCAAGCGTACCAACATCAGAATTATAGGGGTGCCAGAAGAAGAGAGAGGGCAAGATATTGAAAACCTATTTGAAGAAATAATGACAGAAAACTTCCCCTACCTGGTGAAAGAAATAGACTTACAAGTCCAGGAAGCGCAGAGACCCCCAAACAAAAGGAATCCAAAGAGGACCACACCAAGACACATCATAATTAAAATTCCAAGAGCAAAAGACAAAGAGAGAATCTTAAAAGCAGCAAGAGAAAGACAGTCAGTTACCTACAAGGGAGTACCCATACAACTGTCAGCTGATTTCTCAACAGAAACCATGCAGGCCAGAAGAGAGTGGCAAGAAATATTCAAAGTGATGAATAGCAAGAACCTACAACCAAGATTACTTTATCCAGCAAAGCTATCATTCAGAACAGAAGGTCAGATAAAGAGCTTCACAGATAAGAAAAAGCTAAAGGAGTTCATCACCACCAAACCAGCATTATATGAAATGCTGAAAGGTATTCTTTAACAAGAGGAAGAAGAAAAAGGAACTCTTACCATTTGCCACAGCATGGATGGAACTGGAGAGCATTATGCTAAGTGAAATAAGCCAGTCAGAGAAGGATAAATACTACATGATCTCATTCATTTGTGGAATATAATGAACAACATAAACTGATGAACAAGGACTGATCCAGAGATGGAGAGGCATTGATTGGACTGTTGGGCCTTGGAGGGAAGGTAGGGGAGGGTGGGGGTAAAGGGGAAAGATCAACCAAAGGACTTATATGCAAGCATATAGGCCTAACCAATGGACACGGACAACGGGGGGGTGAGGGCATGAGTGGGGGGGGGGGGGGTAACGTGGGGATAAGGATACATATGTAATATCTTAATCAATAAAAAATATATTAAAAAACAAAAAAAAAACTGTATCTGAGAGACCATTCATGACACAAGCCTGAATTCTATTTAAAGGCTACTTTTCCATTAGTAATTTATGCTGAATTGCTATTTCTCAGAGAAGGAAATACAGACTATAGGTATTCTGCTATAGACACACTTCTAGTACTTAGGTAAAATATGGTGTAGAATGAGTAGCATACTAACAGCTACAGAAACTGGGGAACCTGGCATCACAACAGATGATAACATGGAAAAATAAAAAAACAGACTGGTCACCTGGGAATAAGGCTCTAAGAGCATCTCCCCTAGTTTTAAGACTGGGAGATTCAGGTTCGTGATTTCAAGATGACTCTATAGTTATGTAAACAAGAAATATCACCATTGCTCAGTCCTCATCATTGATTTTCTCTGCATGCTCCAAATATTTTAAAAACTTGAATCTACTTATCAAAGATTACCATTTACCTAACAATGAAATGTATATCTGTTCCTACGGGAAAGCTATTATTACCACATCTATTTATATAAATAGTAGCTGTGACAATGTCATAATCCTATGAAGAATCTTCCTAAGGGGAAGTAAAACACACCTAGAAATCATCAATAGCTGTTTACTTGAAGAAAACAGATTTATTCTCAGATACCAAAAAATGTTTTCAGAAGGTCTAGGTGTCCGACCTACCTTGCTCTTCATGATCTTTGAAGTGCCACCAATACCCTTTGGAAGGATGATATCGACAGTATGACATAGCTTCATCAAAAGCTGACTGAATGCCATGCACCGCAGTAAGCTTGTAGAAAGAAAATGAATTCCCAATTTCTCATTAATAATGCTCAAAACATTTTAATACCCTAATACCCAACACTTTATACTGACTTACACAAGCAGCTGTGTTTGATTCTTGAAAGCAAGGTCGCTCAAGTAAATGTTTTTAGTGTTTAAATAATGTGAAGACACTTACCACTCTAGAGTTTATAACTGATCCCAAGTCTGGTGCCTGGTAGATCACTCCAGCAATGATATAGTAATCAGCCAGTGGGATAACTAAAGCAGTAGAAGGGAAAAAACCATTTATGAATACAGCCATGTACACAAACTACTAAATAGATTTCTATAAAAAGAACAACTAAAAGTTGACATTTTCTCATATTAAAACTTAAGGCAGGCCGAAACCGGTTTGGCTCAGTGGATAGAGCGTCGGCCTGCGGACTGAGGGGTCCCAGGTTCGATTCTGGTCGGGGGCATGTGCCTGGGTTGCGGGCACATCCCCAGTGGGAGATGTGCAGGAGGCGGCTGATCGATGTTCCTCTCTCATCGATGTTTCTGACTCTCTATCTCTCTCCCTTCCTCTCTGTAAAAAATCAATAAAATATATTTAAAAAAAACAAAAAACAAAAAACTTAAGGCAGGGCCTGCCATGCAGGTGGCAGCTGATTGGTGATTTTCTCTCATCACTCATATTTCTCTCTCTCTCCCTCTCTTTCTCTCTGAAATCAATAAAAAATATATTTAAAAAGATTTCCTGTTTTCGTAAAGTTATATTATAAAAACAGCCACACCCATTCATTTACATTATTATCTACAGCTGCTAGTTGAATAGTTGTCACAGAAACCATGAGCCTCACACTCTAAAATATTTACTCTGTGGACCTTCCCAGAAAAAATTTTGTCAACTCTTGCCCTGGAGCAGTGAATCACCTGAGTATCCTGTTAAAATCAGATTCTTAATCAGTAGGCATAGTGCATTTCTAACAAGTTCCCAAGTGATCCAATGTTGCTGTCAGTCAACCACACTTTGGGGAATAAGACCTTACAGCAAGAGATTTACAGCCTAGCGTGAAGATAACAGATGTGCTGAGCTTGTCTCTGTGCTCCCGTCCTGAGTCCTAAGGAATAAAACAGCTGCTAGCGAGGCTGGTGCCACCTTGTATAGCTTCTATAACTTGAACCCTCTCACCATGGAACTCTTATCCATGGTCTTGCCTTTGTTCTAAGGTTCTCTTTTTTTTAAAATCCTCACCCGAGGATGTTTTCATTGATTTTAGAGAGGGGAAGGGAGAAACATCAATTGGTTGCCTCCTGTATACGTCCCAACCAGGATCAAACCCACAATCTAGGTATGTGCCCTGACCAGGAATCGAACCCACAACCTATCAGTGTACAGAATGATGTCCCAACCCATTTAGTCACATGGGCCAGGGCTAAGGTTCTTTTTCTCTGGACCAAAACTCTAGATTTTTAAACTAAATTTAAGTTCTTGATTCTAGAACTTCTTTAACAAGTCATTCTCTGGAATCAATACCAAGGTTGTTACTAAATGTCTTGATGAGGGATTTTAAAATTAGGAGATGTAGCTGGTCACCTTTGGAAGTAAGTGACTAATGCTATCATTCAAAATCAAATCTGCATTCTATACTCTTCAGTCTGATTTCTAAGGCAAGTTTTTGTGTGGTTAGATAAACCAGGTAAGACTTGTGGTTGAATGTGTCAATGAGGGTTTTCAACTGACCTTTTAAGAATTTGGTACAACTGCACTTACCATGTATTTTGTAACAGAATTAGACTCAGTGGTCTGAGATGAAAAGAAAGTTACTTGGAATGTTCGAGGCTCAGTTGGAATCCCAACACTTGTGCTCACAGGAAGACAAGGTTTCAATATAGCGAGTTGCTCTATTAGTGCTTGCAGAGCTGCCCCTGGGCATGCTGGGAGACCCCTGGTGTCCAAGCATGTGACTAGTGGAACTCCATTTGAAATGGTTCCTAAATGATAAAGCTATGTCTACCATACCAGCCTGCCTAGACAATTTGTACAAACAATATTATAGTGCAAACATGATTTCCTTCTAAGGCTCTGGAATTTTAGCAGGCATAAGAGGTCTACATGATTAGACCTCATTAAAAATCTGGACTCAGAGTCTCAAATGGAGTTTCCTGAGCAGACATACACACATGGAGCTGCATTTCACTGCTGGAGGGTATACTTGGTGTGGCCCCTCACAGAGAGGAAAGCATAGAAAGTTTACACCTGGACAGACAACTACAGATCCCACTTAATATGGCTTTTTCCCTTATTGATCTGGCTGGGTATTCTTACTGTGTTGCCCTAACAAAATTTACACATGACTAACTATATGCTGAGTCTGCTGAGTCCCCCTGGTAAAGCACTGAACATATATATGTTGTCTTGGGGATGCCCAAAAAAGAACCCAAGAAAACAAACAAACAAACCAATAAACAAAACCAACTGTATAGCTCAGAAAGTAAATAAATCATGGTGTTTTAAGAAAAAAATAATGCCTGAAGTTTACACATTTTACCTTGGGTAGGGGACTGCCGCTGTTGCTTTCGGATGATAAAAAGAATGGGCTCTTGAGCATGTAAAAGGATGTATTCCACTCCAACCATCTGACTGAATGAAAATAGAACACAGACATCCAGAGATCTATGAATGCCCTATAAACAATTCTGTAGAACATTCAAATTATTATATAAAATTATAACAACACTGTAAGTAGAATTAAAACTGCCTGTGTTTGATATTAAAACCTGGCTGTTTAATAAAATTGGCTATTTTCGAAGGTAATCACATACAGGTAAAGATTTGGTTTTTAAACAAAATGTACTTATAAAATTTCATGATGAACTTAAATTTTCATCATGAAAGTATACTGAAGAGCATGTTTCAAAAAAGACAACCAAGCCCAGCCGGTGTGGCTCAGTGGTTGAGCATCGACCTATGAACCAGGAGGTCATGATTTGATTCCCGGTCAGGACACATGCCCAGGTTGCAAACTCAATCCCCAGTGTGGGGTGTGCAGGAGGCAGATAATCAATGGTTCTCTCTCATCATTGATGTTTCTATCTCTCTCTCCCTCTCCCTTCCTCTCTGAAATCAATAAAAAAATATGTATTTTTTTAAAAAGGCAACCAAAATACCATGATGCTTCTTGACCTGGGAGATCTATAAATATATGTAAAATATAAAAGTATACATGGTGAAGGCTATTCATGTCTTGACTGTATATGTCAACTATATATTCTACCCAACTAGAAAATATCAAAAACCTTATTCTTGCCCCACTGCATTTTTTATCTGGCAGATTATGTTTAAAACAATAAGTTGTCTTAATAGTTATAAATATTTGTTTCTTCTGAACAACAGTTATTTAAAATACCACAGAAATTTAATTTCATGAATTCCCCCTAATGTTTGCTGACAGATTAAAAAACACACACACACACTTTATTACACAGTTGTTTCAGAAACTTTTATAACAGTAATAAATTCTTAACGTCCTAAGTCTGAAGAATCTTGCTTTGTATAAGTCTGTCTAAAATTTTTCGTCATACAAAGATAAATCTACTATACACCTACTAAAAACACTAAATTACATGTAGACAATAAGTATAGTTACTACGTTGAGAAAAACAGTTGCATTGCTCATCAGATCTACATTTAAACCTCATAGCTATAGTTTAATTGGACAGTAATGTATAAAGTTATTACAGTAAAGACTTCCTAAGCAACAAATGACTACTAATAATTCCTTTGCCAATCAAAACTTGTTATGAACCCAAACAAAACTCCAGTTCTTCCAAAACTTCTACTCCGTATTTCACGATCCACAGCTTGAAAGAACTGTTCACTGCAGAATCTCTAGTTGGCCAAGATGCTGCTTTCTTACAATAACTTACTTTAAGTGTTCTAATGTTAGTCTCTGCATTTTGACCACTTCATTATTACACGTTCTGTCGTAAAAAGGATTACTTCTTTCTGAAAAGTAATCTAGGACACTTCCACTGTTCAAAATGGGGATCCATGTACTGTCAACCCAAGAGATTCCCAGTAGATTATCTATAAGAAAGAAACAAAATAATAAAAGGTGAGAAAAGAGAAAAAAATCTAATCCTATAAATATTATGTATCTCATGTTGTAGGCACTATAAATAAAAGGAAGACATGGATCCTAACTTACATACTCTCAACAGTCTAACAGAAGAGACAAGTACACAAGAAAGCAATAACTCAAGTGCTATAATAAAAGTATGAATAAATGTGTTATGAGAGCACAGTGGAGGGAGCAGAATACCCTACCTGAGGAAACTGGAATGATTTTTTATGGGGTGAGGGTTTTAGCACTATCCTATCCTATATAATAAAAGGCTAATATGCAAATAAACCAAATGGTGGAACAACTGAACAACCAATCACTATGACCACCAGGTGGTGCGTGCTGACCACCAGAGGGCACGCGTGGAAGATGGCGGGCGTCGACAGCAGGCAGCAGAGAGCAGAACATGGTGTGTGTCGGCCGCAGCAGGATGGTGGAGCAGGTGAGCGGGGCGCCAGATCAAGGCAGGGCGCCAGTTGCTGTCATGGGGCAAGCCTCTGGTGGTTACTGAAAATTCTTTGCTCCCGCGCGCCGTCATCCTACCCGGTGCTCACACCTGCCTGGCGCTCACACCTACTGCCAGCGCTGGCCCTGCTTGCACCTGCTGCCAGTGCTGGAGCTACCACTTGCACCCGCTACTGGCACCTAGCGCTGATTACTCGACAATGTCAGTGGGTGCGAGCGGCAGCTGCTGGCCCTGATTGCCCCTGAGGGCTTCTCCACCTCCCCTTGCTCCTGGGGGGCAATCAGGGCAGCAGCTGCCACTTGCACCCACTGATGGCATTGGCCCTGCTTGCACCCGCTGCTGGCGCTAGCCCCAATTGCTCCACGCCGTCAGTGGGTGTGAGCAGGGCCGGCACCATCAACGTGTGGGAGCAGCGGCGGCAGGAGTGGGGCTGCCTGCAGACAGGGGACTGGGGGCCATCGTGGGAGGGGCTGAGTGGGGTTGCGGATAACGGGCCAACACCCACCCCTGTGTCTACCGCAGCCTTGAGGCCCACAGTTCCTTTCAAGGGGCATGAATTTGTGCACTGGGCCCCTAGTATGTTAAAGAATAGAGGATCAAGCTGGAAAAAGAGGAGCAAAAGCAATTCTAAGCAGAGAGAATGCATATACAAAGGTGAGAAAATATAAAAATATATTATGTTTCAATGATAATTTGATAAGATAGAGAAGTATAGGACTTAAAATTTAAAGAGATTTTTCAAAAAACTAGAAATCCTAAGTTTTTATATGTTGGCAACTAATTGAAAAGTTTTCAAACAACATGCATGCCAAAGAAAACACATCCAGAGTCACCAGTTTGCAACCTCCCAATTAGGGACCAAGAAATAAATTAGAAAGTTATTATGATAGATGAGATGATGCAAAAGTTAAAGGGCAAGTGAGAAGTACAATGTCCTTAATTACATGTCATACAATTTCATATTTTAGAACAGAATTAAATTTGAAAATTTTCAAAATGCACAAAGAAAAAAAAAGGCATGGTAAAATAGAGCTAGACATCTTTAATTAATGAGTTTTATTAGCTACTGGCTGCAATGATGCTTCACACCACTAACTATACTAAATCCCAATAGGTGTGAGTCAAGAACATTAAAATGCCTATAAATATTGGTTGAAGAAGGAACTATTAAAACCTCAACCTCTCCTATACTGTAATTGCTTCTGACATCTTTGAAGAAGTTAGACTTAACCCAAGGTGACAAGCAGTTCCGAGCAAAACGAATCAAATGAGAAAAAGTAAGTGTATAAAGGTAAAATGTGCTGTGTGCATTATAAAACCAAGGAAATAAGTAGATGAAGTATGTTAATGATCAAATAATCAGTAGAGACTATTAAGATGGTTCATCATAAATGGATCATGCCATAACCAAATATATAAAAAGCCAAAAAATAAAAAGACAGATTTCCTAATGAAAAACTAAGAGTGTTGGCCTGTGGCCTGAAGGGTCCCAGGTTTGATTCCGGTCAAGGGCATTTGTAGAAGAAAATTTTAGGTTTCTTTATCACTTACATAGTGGAAACTACGTATATTTGGTGTCATACTAAGTACACATTGACAATAAATTGTTAAAATATTACAGATCATTTCCAGAAAGAAAATAATCTATAGAAACAAATGAATGTTTAGTGACAATCCCCCCTACCAACAATTATGGAGAGTCAATCCATATGGGCATGAGGTGATGAGAACCTAGTGGAAGGCAATGGCAATGCATAGGAAGATAAGGAGCAATCCTCCAATTATCTCTCTGGCCTCATCTCTTCCCACCTCCTTGCTCCTTCTCTCTCAGCCATACCTGCCTCTATGCTGGTCCTCTAACACACCAGGCATGCTCCCACGTCAGAGCCTTTGCAAAGACTCTAACAAATCCAAATAAAAAGTAAAACAGTATGAAAGCCAAATATCTGAAAACAGTCTGAACTAAATGTTTCTTTTTTTATTTAGTAGCAAGGGTGCATGGCGACATGGTCCCCAAACAGCTCTCTAACAATCAGCAAGTGATAAAATTAGGCACCGAAAGTGCCTAACTTATATGAAAGACAAATACTTAAAAGTGTTTTTCAGAAATGCTGAAGATCACTGGACATTTTGAATAACTATAAAATGAGAATATATTTGTAATAAGCATGCTAGACTCCATCCACTTTGGTTAATATAGAAAAAGGGATCTCAAACATTTCCCTTTAAAAAATCAAGTATATATAGCCCTGGCCAGGTGGCTCAGTTGATTAGAGTGTTGTCCCCATACACTAAGGTTGCACATTAGACCACTGGTCAGGGCACATACAAGAATCAACCAATGAATGTGTAAGTAAGTGGCACAACAAATCTCGATCTCTCTTCTCTCTCTCTCAAATCAATAAAAATCAAGTATCTACGAAAACAACCCTCATGGAAATGATTTGAAGCATCTTGCAGTTAAGCATCTTGAGTGGTTTCTGTTTTTGTTAATCCTCACCAGAGGATACTGTTTTCCATTGGTTTTTAGAAATGAGTAGAAGGAGGGGCGGGGCGGGGGAAGAAACATCAATGTGAGAGAGAGACATCAATTTTGGCTGCTTCCCCCACCGCCCCCGACCAAGGCGGGGATCGGATCTGCAACCCGGGTATGTGCCCTTGACCGAAATGGAACCCGCGCCCCTTCCGTGCACCGGCGGATACTCCAACCACACTGAACCACACCGGCCAGGGCGATAGTTAAAACATTATTTGAGGAAAGCCCTTTTTCTTTCACCTGATTGGGGGGTGGGGAAGGGTTGAATCTCAGCTTGCACCCAGGTACAAAAACTCACACTTCCTTTAAGAAAGAGGACCACAACGTTTCGAGCGAGAACACATCCACCTGGAGCGTTTTCTGCAAGCGCAGGAAGTGTTGTGGAGACAGCGCCGCACGAAAAGGTAACGATCATGGCGGGCGCTCCGCGCTGAGTTTTTCCAGGATCCCTCCTCCCGGCCTGGGGGAACCCGGCCTGTTGGGAACCAGGTTCCCACGCCTCAGCTGTTCTTCAATCGCCCTTCCGGCTGGCTCCCTCGCGGGAATACCAGAGCACAACTTCTAGGCTTTTTTTGTTTGGTTCGGTTCGGTTTTCAAATTCACTGAAACGGGGTGTGGAGGTGGGCAGAGAAGAGGATGCATGTATAGCTTCATGCCTCCCGAGATCGCCAGCGACAGGGGCACGCGCCTCCCTGTATCTATTCACCGGTCGGCCAATATTTGAGTGCCTTGGCAGTTCAGCGGGAAAAAAGACACGACCCCTCCGTCACTGCTGGGTGTTTGACGGGAGGTACTGCAGACTCAAACATAAAACTTACAGAAGAAAATCTTCGGGGTTCAAGCTCAGGGGCGCCGGGGGCGCGATGTCAGAAAGAAAGCAGCCGCGACGCCAAGTCCCCAGGGGTGGACCGAGTCCCGCCGGCCGGTCACCCCAGCTCCCACCCTGCCCACAGGCCATCCCTTCACCGGCAGCCCCGACGTTCACCGCAGAAACATGCGTGTGAAACAGCACTGCGGTCTGAGGGCTCAACCCCAACCTTCCCAAGCCTTGGCTTCCACGCTTCTAAGAGACACCGCGAAGCGGGGAAAACCAGGCTACTTTTCGCCGGAGTGAGGCTTTGAGTCGTCCACAGAAAGAGCTGGGAGACATCACAAAGGAGCCTGACCCCTGCCCCGCGAGCTAGAGAGCCCCAAACCAGACCCGACCAGCAAGAAACGAAGGCTGACAGCACGGGTTACCTCGGATATCCACCGCCGCCATAATTCCAAAAGTGTTCGCGGTTCTCCTTCCGGCGCAGAGAAGACGTAACCACTATGACGACGGAAGCAGAGGGGTGCAGGTCCTCGGGACCCTGAGGAGAAATGCAGAGGGGAGGACAGTGCGGGACCCACGAGAGGGCAGGGAAGGGGAGGACGCCAGGAGCGCAGGGGAGCTGCTGGGAGGTGGACGGATAATTGTGCACTGGGGACAATTCCGAGAGGAGAGGGAAGCCGCTGGGAGGGGGGAGCGGGGGTGGGGGAGGGGTGGGGCTGGGAAGTGGAGGGGCGGGGCTTGGAGGTGGAGCAGGGCGGGAGGTGAGCGGCTGGGCTGGGAGTTGGGGCGGGAAGGGAAGGGGCGAGGCTGGGAGATGGAGCACAACAAGGGGGGTTGCTGGGAGGTGGAGAGGGGCGGGGTTGGGAGTGGCGAGGGGCGGGGCTTGGAGGTGGAGAGGGGCGGGGCTGGGATGTGGAGAGGGGCGGGGCTTGGAGGTGGAGAGGGGCGGGGCTGGGAGGAGGAGCGCGGCGGGAGAGGGAGAATTAGGAAAAGAGGAACCCTGCGGGAAGGGGAACGCCGCGCCGCGGCCAGTGAGGAAGGAGGCCCGGCATGCTAGTGAAAAAAAATGTTGGCGACTGAGCGAGTCCTGCCCAGGCCCACTATTGAGAGATTCGAATATTCGAGCTTACTTTCCTGTGATCGTTTTAAAAAACAAATGTTGATTATGCAGAGTTAGGGGTGGGAACATCTTCAAGTTAAAAAGCGCCCTCGGGTTTAGGAGCTACTGGCCATTTTCTACCCTCCCTTAAGGGTAGGGATGGGAAAGAACTTAGCTGAAAGAATTTGAAAGTCTTTAGCTTTTACTAGTATGTCACTTAAGTCCATTAAAAGTCTCAACCCGTTAAGTAAATGTATTAGATGCCTCTGAGGCAAAAATTTCACAAGACAGTGTTATGCCCAGAATTCAAGATCCCCAAGAAACCATGCCAGGGAGTCAGTCCGATGCAAAAGCAGAGGGTCCTTTATTGAGTTAGCTAACCCGACCCGGACCTCCAGTCGACGCAGCAACCGGAAACCGAGTGCCCCCCGTGAGAATAGTGAGGGGAGAGGAGCCGGCTGTGGGCCCTGCCGATTGGCCAGGCGCAAGTCGGGTCTTGTTAAATCCTGGGCGTGGCCAGCAGGGGCCTGGGCTCGGGAAGAAGGCACTTTTCTGAGCGAATGGCCTCTGCCCCATCATTCCCCCCTTGTCTTGGAACTTCCGGCTCAATCATGAGACGGACTGCACTTCTATTTCACTGTCGCTAGGGGCCCGTAGTGAGTTCACAGAACTATCAACTGAACTATTTTATACACTTAACAAATGGTCCGGTGGAAGGGAAAGAAACCATTTTAGCTTTAACAACTTCTATTGAAATAGGATTTTTCTTCTTAAAATTCCTCCATGGCTATTAAAAAGCCAAATAAAGATTAATTTATTTACTGTCCTGATGTTTGCATAAACACAACAAGAATGGTAACTGACTACCTTTGCTGGAATTTCATGGTTGAACCTTAATGTGCCCCGTAGGGCCAGGAAGCCAAGCCATCCAGCTGCCATCAGGCCTGCCTGCAGTATCTGCTGAGTTAGGTGAATCTCTCACCTGTAGCAACTCCACCTGAGCCCATGCTCCAGGCTTTAAGGCCCATCTCAGTAGCCCTCCTACTCGTTGCGGCCCAGAGTGTGAGGGGGTTCTGCAGGGATGCAGAGGCATCTTTACTGCTCCCCTTCTACTCTTACCAACCGCCAGTGATGGTAGGGCATGGGCCTGACGCTCCAGCGCCAGCTGTCTTCAGGGCTCCCAGGCAGGATACCAGGCTTTCTTCGTGGCATTCTTAGTGGCTTCAAGTCTTTAGAGCTCAGATAGGGCTCTTTAAAACATGATACTCCAGTCAAAGTTTTCCGTTAATAAAACCACTACTAGGCACCAGTCTTACTGAATCTATGCAAAGAAACGTACTTACTTAGCATTGCCAGATTTTGGAGGAATTACATAAGGAGAAAAACATACTGATTTACTCTAAGATTTTCTGACTTTCCTTGCTAATTTCTTTTCATGGATTTAAAACAAAACAGTAATTGTTGGTCCATGCCTCGGACTTTCTAGTCTAAACAGGCTTTTTCCAGCTTTACTACCCCTGACATGGGCATGGTGACTCAGGCCTACAAGACAGTATTACAGGCTGTCAACTGTTAGCTGTCTCTCAACAGAGACCAAAACCTGATGGGCACCCTTCCCTGCCCAGTTGGGCACTTGTCCTCTTGGCAGCTAGACACCCTTTACTTTTGGGGGTCACCCCACACAGCTCCCTTCCAGGACAGCCAACATACATTCAAACCTGCCAAAGGTCAATATAACATATCAATACAATAAAACATGATACTAGACATGTGATCCTATGAATTGTCCTTGTCATTTTGGAGCCGTGTCCATGAAGGCGCAGGCATTATCTAAATCTATTTAATGTTACCAGCATCACGCAGGTCGAGAACGCCGTAGCTTGAGCTTGAGCGGGTTGCGTGGATCTCGATCGACGCTCTATTTGGTGATGAAGTCTTTCCGGATGGACCCAGGTCGTGACGCCGTCTACCTTGAGAGCGGTGGGGGTCTTCAGCACCACACCCTTCCAACGTGGCTCTAGGGTCTCCCAGCAGTACCTTCTGATGTAGACCCAATCTCCTGGTCTGTGCTGATGAGGAGTTGGGGTTGGGCTGGTCCCATAGATGGCGCGGAGGCGCGACCAAATGTCCTCGTGCGCCCTCTGGAGCCCTCTCAAGGAAAGAGTCCTCCTCTCTTGGAGAACTTCAAAGTCCTGATGGAACCCTGTTTATCAGTTACAGGGCTCTGCTTTCTTGTCTTTCTACCAGTTCCCTTTTTGGCAGAGCAGCAACCAGGCCTCTTTCAAGGGAGTGTGCTGGAAGTGGGTATCAGCCCCTCCTTTGCTAGCAGCAACAGGTACTAAACCCTTTCAGTACATTAGACCAGCTTCATTCCCGCCCACCTTTACAGATTCTAAGGCCCATTGTTTTCCTTTAACCAGCAAGCTAAATGACACTGGCCTGCATTATTTAATTCAGCACAGGCAGGGGGAAGGGCCCATGGAATCTCTGCCCTGAGGAACTGTGAGCCCCACCCTTAAATGTCCCAATCAGATTAGAAAAGCCACAAATACCTTTTAAATCTACCCCAGAATTCCAAAATCCCAACCTAGCACAGAATATACTTCCACATTTATATGAACAAATAATTATACCCAAGTAGACATACAAACATCAAATAAACATTTACACCCTTTTAGTGAACAAGTACCTTTACAGTCTTGGGATCTTGAGCAGACAGGAACAGATGTGGAGGCCTCCCTTTCTCACATCCTAGGACAGGACTTTTGACCTATGTCTCATCCAGATAGAAACGGTCCACATTTATACCACAAAATACCAACAAATCAGTTTCAGTTGTGTAGCCAGTTCGAGTTTTGACTTCTCTCTGGAAGTCTCAGAGATGGTGAATGCCATCTAGAAGCCATTAATCCATTCACACAATCCCCCAAAAGTTAAAGAGGAAGGAAAGAATCATTCAATGTAAACCAAGGCCAGAAGTACCCTCTGACGTTTCAGGGGTACCAAGGAAAGAGAAGTTAGGCCACGTTCAGCCCTTCTCACAATTCACCATTAGTGACCAGTCCCAGCTCACTGGTCTACCATCCATTTAACATTTCTTTTTCCTCCTATCACACCAAGGCCATGCTTTCCAGGTAGCTAGAACTTTTAGCCTTAATTTTTAGGTGATTAGCACTAGTTAAACAATTTTAAACAACAAAGATACATATTTAAGTAAACACATTATCTAGAACCTAGGTTAAACTTAGGCATATCCTGGGTCTCCCAAACACTGAGTTGGCAAGGTAACTGGAGCCCTTTAAGATCAGTATGAAACCACAGTTTCTACCTGAAATCCTTTTAAAGACTTTGACATAACCTTTAATTGTCCTTAGTTTAAGGAAAGCAGGGTTTTCTAGATTTTTCATGAGGCAAATTACTTTTTACTTTCAAGCGGCTCTGGAGAACCACATTCGAGCCTTGCAAGACAGGTTTTTGGCCTCCCTGGTCTTTTCAGATGTAAATTGACGACATTCTTTAAGATTTTCCTGCAGGCAGGAGGCGACTATCTCCTCCCTCCATTAAGAAAAGCTTTCTTAATTAACAAAGGACCAGTTTTTGTGTTTTTTTTTTTTTTCCCTCTTTGGAAAAACTGTTCTTTATTATGGGTTAGGCTTGGGATTTATCCTGCACATTTGAAAAGAGACGCTAGCCCAAAACCCTATCCAAAATCGGACGGTGCGCACATTAGTTTTAAGCCAGCTTTTCTCCTTACACGTGCATAGAAATCCCAGACGCATTTACTTGGGGAGGGGGTGACCTGTTTACACAGACCCTCACTCAGGCGGCCGCCCTACCGCCACACAAAGGAGGGGGGAGGGCAGTCCCCCTCCCTCCACACTCACACACTTTCACCAGACATTTATTCAGTTTAAACAATCCATTCAATTCCTAACAACTTCCCCATTCCTGAGGGAGCTCTAAAGCCTCCCCCAATCTCCTTGAAATTATTAATCCAGCAAGTCCACAAAATAAAACGGAAACACAAACAACTAAAGGGCCCAAAAAAGTACAGCCTTCCAACTCCATGGAAGCAAAAACCGAAAGCTAGACGATGGCTGCGCGCCAACCAGCAGGAGCGACCCGCCTTTTCTCAGATTGAGGGGTTCCTACAGACCTTCCGACTCCGCGGAAGCAAATTTTCCCCTCTTCAGATGGAGGATCGGAGAGCTCCCCTACTCCTCCTGCCTGTCTCAGATTAAGGGGTTTCCTACAGACCTTCCGACTCCGCGGAAGCAAAGCTATACCCCTTCAGATGGAGGACCAGGGCGTCCCCCGGCTCCTCCCGCCTATTGATCCTGTGCATCCACTCAGATCATTATTACAGGCATTTACAGGCATTTACAGATTTCAGAAGTGAGCTCACACCGGATAGATACAAAACAAAACACACGACACAAACAAAAGACCTACCGCGGTCAGTCAGGCCCTCCGGACTGGGAGTCCCTCCTCATGGTGTTGGGGATCCCGGACGAGCCCCCAAAATGTTATGCCCAGAATTCAAGATCCCCAAGAAACCATGCCAGGGAGTCAGTCCGATG